GTCTCCATAGAGGAATCAAACCTTTGCCTTCAGCGACACGCCTTAACCGCCTCCATTCGGAACCAAAATTTCTGTGTGATAACTTCGGCTACAGTGGCATCGACGTAGGGACCACCCTAATGTACGTACATATCGAAGGCTTATATTCAAAACCCTCTATTCGCAATTTTCACAAAAATGAGCTACAGATATAAAGAATCCACTTAAGAGTTATCTGTTATAGTTGATGTCAATGTTAACCTTATATATAAATACATACATGATATAATTAACAGTTGGTTGGCAAAATTAGAATGCAAGATGGGTTCTTCGATCAGAAATTAGTTTTTTGTTAAAGTTGCAGAGAGAGGGTGGTATTGAATATAAGCCCTCTTTTCTCTTTCCTGTCTTCAAAGACAAATGTCTAACAAAAGTGTTGCCAAATTTACTTACTTAAGCGAATGTGAATTTTTTTTACATAAAATGCAATGCTATACATACATATGTATATACCCACAAACAAATGCGCGACAATTAAAAGTTCATTTGAGTTGAATGCTGCAGTTTTTGCGATTTATTTTGAACAAAAGCCACTTCAAGTTGCCACAAAGAGGAAGCAACGAAATCAGACATTTTGTTAAGCTCCCGTAAAGCACATTATTAGTATTTTTATTTTTTTTTTTTGCATACAAGAATAGTATGCATACTCATAATTGTAACACATATACATACATATGTGCGTACGTAGTTAAGTGCGAATGAGTTATTTTTATATGCCAACTTGTCAGCTTGTACTACCTCAGGGGCATTCATTGTGTTCCAACGGCAAGGGCATACATATTTTGCTAAAATTTATTGCCTGAGCTGTGCACATACATATGTATGCACATACTTGTAAACAGACATATGTACAAACATACACAGTTACTTTGATGAAGAGTAAGATCATTGCCCATTTGCTGATCAAAACTTAAATAGCAAACCATTTGAGCGCAAATAAAAACACAAACACTTACAAATTTACACATAACTCATATCAAAAAAAAATGTATGCGCAAGCAAATACAAAATTGCAAATTATTTGTTGAAGAAGTTTGTTTTGTGAGCGTAATTTGATTTGACGGTTCGGTTCTTAAGTCTTTCGGTTTTTGAATGCGCTACTGTACGCAATTTCAAGTATTTTAAGTATTTCTAAGGTGAAACTGAACAACGTCCCTTTATTAAACATACGTATGTATTTATATGTTATTTACTGCTTTATTCGCATTCGCATTCGCTTTCGCATTCACATGTGCACTGAGCCAGCAATTAAAAAATGACCTAGTTTGGCGGAATTAATGTAATTGTGTTCGCAAAAAAAAAAATGTTTGATCTGTCATTCGGCGAGCATTGAAAACTTAATTCTTGTCTGTTATTAACACAAATTGAACAAATATTTTTATCAAAGCTTGCTTCAATGGCATAATTATTGTTGAAAATTGCTTAAGCCATGCTTTAAAGTTCAAAAAGTGCTGTATATTTAGTTATTTTAAGGCATAAGCCTGATTGACAAAAAAGTTGCACTTAGTTATTTTTATATTTTGTTTAAAAATTTAAAATGTATTTAATAAAATGCAGCGTATTCGTCAGATGCATTGGGTACACATTATAAAACGTAGCCATTCATTGGCATTAACTCGAAAAATGAAGGTAAAAGTTTGAAACTTGGTACATTTTCTTTTAATATCATCGATAAGCTGTGGAATTTTTTTTTGGGAAAATTGGACCACGTCTTAACTCGAAATCAATCTTTTTTTCGAGTCTCACCTTCGATAACGAATATGAAATAGGTTAGGTTATTCGATTCGAAAACTATGCCATTCTCCAGCGAAACGAAACCTTCGTTATCCAATGTATTTTTTATTTCGTTATGACTACAAAATCCAGCCCATTATCGAATTGGAATTTTAATGAGAGAGAATGATTTTCTTATACTTCCCTTCAAGAATGAGCTGGATTTCACTTTCTCTCTTGTTACTATGGTTTCCATTTTTTTTTCGAACCCATCTCGAGTGTATTTCCAATATACTACGAACATTGGACAACTAAGGTTGGTTATGAGTTGGTTCTCTGTTCGATATTCATATCGAATGGTCATTTTCGAACGTTCGCCAAAATGTTTAGTGGGTATATGTATTTACATATGTACATATACATATGTGTAAAGGAATGACGTACTAATTAAGCTATTGCAAGACGCTCTTTGATTTTATATTTTATGAAACAAAACGATTTACACAAGGTGTTATTGTCATATTCGAAATTAAAATTTCATGGTCAAAGGGC